TGGTGACAACCAAGCAGATGTTACTGCCCATTGCAGTTCGAATCAGAATTCTATCTAATTATGACAGAATTAGGGCTGGGAGTTGTGTAGATGGACAAGTCCTTTCGGAGCAGTTCAATGTCACTGCCATAGTTTATGATAAAGACAGGTGGGATCAAATTGGCAAACTATGCCCCTGCCCACATTCCCTCAGGTCTAAACATACCATTGATTATTTTAAAAAGAAAAATGAAAAATTAGTCCACTACAGTACAGGAAAAGAAGAAACAGCTACTAATAAACCAAAAGTGTTGGAGATTTCAACACGGAAAGAGGAATCAGGCCTGCGGTTGGTGGTTTGGATGAATATTTGGTAACAACTCAAGAAGCAGAGTTGACCCAAGAAACCCAGATGACCATCGGAGTAGCAGGTCAGCCTCTGCCTGGGCAAATGAACCCAATCCTGAGGCTGCCTTGGTTCAATCTGTGCATTTTCAGGTGCCATGCTAGGCAGGTATATCGAAGACCTACACTGCAAAAACCTGAACAAACACAGGGGCTGCCGAGTTGACTAGATTAATAAATCCTTTCATAGGTAAATCAGTTAATACCAATTAATGAAGAAAAAAAAAATGAAAGAGACATTGATCGCCCCATCCACATCCTCAGGTGCTCAGAATAAAGCCCATGGTGTGGCCACCACCCATATGTAATAAGGGGTGGGGTGGGGGAACTTGAGATAAGAGATCAGAGAATACAAGTAGCTTTTAAAAAAACAAACCAACAAAATAACAATAACAACAACAACAACAATAATAATAATACAGTGAGTGTTAGAGTACTAGAACCACCACTGGGGTAGCACAGGGTCTTTGCTCAGCATCACTGCCGTCTGGGAGAAGCACATTGCAAAGACTTTGTATGCGACCAGGCAGTGAGAGGCCCCCCGTGGAGCGACAATCGACCGTCACTGTAGCCTCCCCGGCCCTCTGTCCTCCCGGCCGGGTGGCGCCGGCCCTCGGTCCCTGCGGGTTCCTCCCCCTGCACCCTCCGAACCCGGGCAGCACCCGCCCCCGCTCCTGCTGACTGACAGGCGGCGCAGCCACTCCGCGGAGCCCGGCTTTCGCCCGGCACCCCGGGCATAGGTGGCAGTCTCTGCCGCAGCCAATGGGAGCCAAGAGGCAGGGCGAGCGGCGAGAGGCGCCTCGGGTCAGGTGCTCTGCGCCGAGGTCGCGTGCAGGTGAGCTGCTGCGGCCCGGGGGCGCCCCTTGCTCCGGTCTCCCCGCGGTTAGCGCCGGCCTGCGCGAGGGAGCCTCCTCCAGGCCGTCCCTCCCATTGCCCCAGACCGGATCGCAGCCACGGTAAGAGTCGGGGGTGGGGTTGGGGGGAGGGTCGGCTTGCCCCCCCCCCCCCCCCCCCGGGACCCACACCGCTCCTCTGGGCCCCAAAAGCTATGCCCCCCAGCCCCCCATTCGCCTTGCCAGTGCATATCTAAAGAGCCCAGGAGGCATCTGCCGGCCTCGGTGATGGGGCAGAGGTCCGGGAATTAGCGACCCACCCTGCCCGCGACCCTTCCTGGCGGAGAAGACGGGGCGATGTAGCCCCCTCTCCGTGACGCCTACCCGCTCTGCACATGCCTACTCCTTTACTTCTCCTCTCCTTCCCTTCAATTCCCAGATTTCCAAGGCTGTGGAACAAGGATTGGAGGGGAGAACTGGAAAGCAGCCCAGAGAAATCTGGACCTAGATCTAGGAATTCCACTGCTTCGTGCAGCCTTTTTGTGCATGGAAAAGCAAAAAAAAAAAAAAAAAAAAAAAAAAAAAAATTGTTATTTTTTTTCAGCCCCACCTCCACTTCTCTGTTATTGCTTTATGCCATCGATGTGATAATAATGTTGGTTCTTCTTGGCACACATTCCTAAGCTTTAGACAGCACTTGATCTTTGCTCACTTTCTTTGGTCCCAGAAAGCAGTTCTCGCCTGCTTGCCACATTTGCTGACTTAATTTGCTAAGACAGATGAAAATCAGGTATTGCATGTAGTTGATTCTCTCTCTTTTTAGCCTTAAATTACATTTGGTTGATAACTAGCCTTTCTCGTGTCAGGAAGGTGGGGGAGAAGGGAAGGAGAAGGAAGGAACCCCCATTCTCAGCCAGATATTTAGTAAATATATTTGCAGTTCCCTATTTGCAAATTCCCTCTTGCAACTATTTTTAATTGGTTTTTTTTTTTTTTTGCTTAAGATTTTTCTTTTTTTTTTTTAATTTATTTATTTTTATTTTAGCGTATTATGGGGTACAAGTGTTAAGGTTACATATTGCCCATGCCCCCCTCACCCCTCGAGTAAGAGCTTCAAGAGTGTCCATCCCCCAAATGTTGCAGATCTTACTCGCTTGGTTGTATATATATACCCATCCCACCCTCCCGACACCCGATAAATGTTACTCCTGTATGTCCACTAAGGTGTTGATCTGTCAATACCAATTTGCTGGTGAGTACATGTGGTGCTTGTTTTTCCATTCTTTTTTTTTTTTGAGACAGAGTCTCACTTTTGTTGCCCAGGCTAGAGTGAGTGCCCTGGCATCAGTCTAGCTCACAGCAACCTCAAACTCCTGAGCTCAAGCCATCCTCCTGCCTCAGCCTCCCAAGAAGCTGGGACTACAGGCATGCACCACCATGCCTGGCTAATTTTTTGTATACCATACTTTTAGTTGGTCAATTAATTTCTTTCTATTTTTAGTAGAGACGGGGTCTCGCTCAGGCTGGTTTCGAACTCCCGACCTCAAGCAATCCGCCCACCTCGGCCTCCCAGAGTGCTAGGATTACAGGCGTGAGCCACCGCGCCCGGCCTCCATTCTTGAGATACTTCACTTAGTAGAATGGGCTCCAGCTCTATCCAGGAATATATAAGAGGTGCTATATCACCACTGTTTCTTAAAGCTGAGTAGTACTCCATGGTATACATATACCACATTTTATTAATACACTCATGAATTGGTGGGCACTTGGGTTGTTTCCACAGCTTTGCGATTGTGAATTGTGCCCTCTTGCAACTATTTTTTTTTTTAACTCAAATTTATCTTTATTTCAAGATTATCAGAAGACATTTGCATACTTGCATTTTCTGTCTATCTGTATATGTAACAACTTCCTTCAAGGCTTCAAAATCTCAATTGTTTTATGCCTGTGTATCACAGACCTAAGAGACTAGAATGACTTTAAGAGAGCCTGAGAATAAAACTCAGATCTCTGGAGTTCCCTATTCCATGCACCATCCATTAGAACACTTCTGTATTACTACAGTAATGAAAGTGAATCCTAAATTCAAAGTGTGAATTTAATATTTCAATTCCAAAAAATAAAGCTGTGTACAACTCTTAGAATAACTCACTAAAGTAAATAGTTTTTTTAATATAAAATTTGCTAGTAGCTATTTATCACAGTCTGTGTTTATCATGAATAAAGCTTTTGCCAACTAAAAATATATACAAAAAAATTAGCCGGGCATGGTGGCACATGCCTGTAGTCCCAGCTACTAGGGAGGCTGAGGCAGCAGGATTGCTTGAGCCCAGGAGTTTGAGGTTGCTGTGAGCTAGGCTGACCCCACAGCACTCTACCCTGGGCAAAATTTTTAATGTTCTTTCCAAAACTGGAAAAATTGTTGCCATTTAAGAAATAGTTTTAAATTTAATTTTTGAACCAATGTCTTGACACCCAGTACCTAAAACAGTTTCAGTTTAAGTAAATAATATCTAGGTATGGTAAAATCACAGTTAAAAAGCAAACAAAACAATTACTGCCCTCAGCTAATACACATAGTTTATGCCTATATAGTTTGTGCTCCCAAAAGCAAAACAAGCCTGCCATGCATTTTTTTATTTCCCTATGCCTATAATATAGTAAGGCAAAGCAAGATCTATTTTTGAGGTTTTAAAATATCTTCAGCATTTTCAAATTAGGAAGATGTCAAAAGCTGAATTCAAGAAATTTCTTTGCCCAAAGTATGGTTAGATCCAAGTTTTGGTGGGCTTATCAATACCTTCATGCAAGAATGGACAGGAAAGGGAGAGAACAGAAGATCCTCGATGTGCAAGCCTGATGGGAACCGAAAAAATTCACATATCTCTTGTTTATCCTACTGCCTCTTAGTAGCTTCCTTGAATATAATAAAAACTTTTTAGAAATATGTGCAAATTAAAAAAAAAAAGCCAACAACCTTGATCCACAGTGATTTAATTCTGGGAAATGCTTCTTCTGCAAATATCATTGATAAGATTGTTGACTAATTTTAACATTAGGAAAGTCAAATAAGGAAACATCAAATTTCAGGATCATATTTCTGTTTATGCTTAGTTTAGAATCTAATTGTTTAGTTCAAGGAAGGCTATGATTTGATTATTAATAAATGAATACAGATTACCTTTCATAAATATATTCAAATGTCACCAATTTTATTTCACTTCAAGAAACCAAGTTTATATGTTTTCCTCTCTCTCTAGTAATACTTCTATAGCCATGATAAATCAAACATAGGAGTTGGCTTTGAATATTTATAGAATATATATTTTTTAAAACACCATCATTACATTTGCTAATGATACTTCATTGTTGCTAAGTTCCTACAGTTGGTTAGGCCATAATGATAAATATGTTCAAAGGCATTTGACTGTATAAAAGTTTCTGATTAGAAGTCAGAAGTCTGGGTCAACCTGAAAATGGTTTTGAAACCTTGCATATAAATTATATCACATCTTAAAATGCTACTGAGGAGCTCATTTAAATAATTCCTTTGAGGAATATGTAGATAAATTCTTAGAAAGTAAACAGTTTTTAAAATGCAACTAAACTTTATAGCTTTATTATATACATTTGGCCCTAGGTCTCTTGTCCTAGGTGGAGTTATGTGACATAATTCTTCCAGGCTTTACCAAGTACCAATTACCAAGTACCATCACTCTGAGTTTGGGGTAAAGTGTACAAAACAAAATTATTGCCATTAACTTCTATATGTTTATTCTACAGATTATCTTACACTGAACTGATCAAGTACTTTGAAAATGACTTCGAAATGTCTCTTGGTGCCCTTCGTACTTGCTGCATTAACTCTTTCAACTACGTTTTCTCTCCAACCAGACCAGCAGCAGAAGGTTCTACTAGTTTCATTTGATGGATTCCGTTGGGATTACTTATATAAAGTTCCAACACCCCATTTTCATTATGTTATGAAGCACGGTGTTCATGTGAAGCAAGTTACCAACATTTTTATTACAAAAACCTACCCTAACCATTATACCTTGGTGACTGGTCTCTTTGCAGAGAGTCATGGGATTGTTGCCAATGACATGTTTGACCCTATTCTGAACAAATCTTTCTCCTTGGATCATATGAATATTTATGATTCTGACTTTTGGGAAGAAGCGACACCCATATGGATCACGAATCAGAGGGCGGGACATGCTAGTGGTGCAGCCATGTGGCCCGGAGCAGACGTAAGAATACACAAGAGCTTCCCTACTCACTACATGCCTTACAATGAGTCCGTTTCATTTGAAGATAGAGTTGCCAAAATTATTGAATGGTTTACATCAAAGGAGCCCATAAATCTCGGTCTTCTCTATTGGGAAGACCCCGATGACATGGGCCACCATTTAGGACCCGAGAGTCCACTCATGGGGCCTGTCATTTCAGATATTGACAACAAGCTAGGCTATCTCATCCAAAGGCTGAAAAAGGCAAAGTTGTGGAACAATCTGAACCTGATCATCACAAGTGATCATGGAATGACCCAGTGTTCTGAGGAAAGGGTAATAGAACTCGACCAATACCTGGACAAAGACCACTACACCCTGATTGACCAATCTCCAGTGGCAGCCATCTTGCCAAAAGAAGGTAAGTCTGACCTGGGTGGTGACCTGAGGCTAGGTCTGCATTTGCCCAATGTGGTTAGGTGAATAGGGATTTCCGTTTCTGTGCCTTTTTTTAATAAACTTGCCTGTGTCATGGTAATATTCTGGGATTTAATCCTTAGACTCTGAAAAGACAATTTCTTTTCTCAGATTTTTTTCCTAGAATATTGAAATTGATCCTCTCTCTATAATTATGGTAGTAGGTTTTAACCATTTTGGAATCATAGAACATGATGAAAGCTACAGCTTCCCTTCTCAGCAAAAGTGAGATGCACAGATACATACAAAATTCACATGCAATTACAGTGAGTTCATGGAACCCTAAAGCCTTCTATAGACCCTTAATTGGGATCTGCTTATAGGGAAACAGTAGAGTATAAGAAGGAGAAAGAGCATTGGTTAATCTGAGATTCATTTTCCTTATTTATAAGTAGGGAAAGTAGTAACACCACCTTGTACTTTTTAAAACCTCTCCTGGAATCCCCATACCAAAGCTGTCACCTGGGGGCATTGTCTCCAATGGACATGGAGACAGGTATGATAGGTATGATTGCCAAAGGTCACAAAGTAAGTGGCAGAACATGACTCAGACCTGCTCTTCTGACTTACATTAAATTACCTCTTACGGTTGGTTCTAGGTATCAGATGGGAGAACAAGAGCTTGAAAAGCTGGAATATCTCAAAATTGAGAATTCCATCCCTCAGTCCCTCAGAGGGAGATCAAGAGAATCATGTGAAACAGTGAATGTTAAAATATGCATGTGCACTTACACACATAGTTTTCAACAAATAACAACTTTTTTCTTGTTGTTTGAGGAAATCACACTAATCCTTCAATTTCGCATATAAAATTGGAATGGTGTTCTCTTGTTGGGGGGCGTGGCAGGCAGGGGCAAAGCCCCAGTAAATGGATTTGAAAAAATAAAACAAATAAAAGACAGTGCCCAGGTTTGCTGTAGTTGCAGTCCCAGGAACACCTTGGCAACACCTCCAGTGTTTTGAAGACCTTTCTATTTTACAAGCTGCTTTCTACCTTCGGTCTGTCTTTTCCCAGCCCCCGTTGTCTACTTAACCATGTTTTCTTGCTAGAGATTCTCTGTCCCTGCACTCATAACTATAAGAACCTAGCTCTTTTTGTGGGGGGTAGAAGTATTTTAATACCCTAGACATTTTACTTAGTGCCACCAATGAATGTGTGTGTGTATGTGTTGAAGCCTAGAGATTAGAGATTTCTAGTTCTATAAGATGTCCTCTCTGAATTCTATAAGGTAAATTTATTTACGAGACAGAAGATTAATTATTTCTCAACTTCCCCTCCCAAGAGTCTTTCCCCCAAGAGGGAGGGAGTTCTAATGTGTCTGTCTATATTTCGTTATGTTCAGCTTGCTGGCTTTTTGCCTCAGTAAAGAGTCTGCTGCCCATGGTTGTTGATCTGATTGTAGCAATGAGTGTCTTGTTCTATGTGCCTCTCCTACCTTCTCTTTAGGTAAATTTGATGAAGTCTACGAAGCACTAGCTCATGCTCATCCTAATCTTACCGTTTACAAAAAAGAAGAGATTCCAGGAAGATGGCATTATAGATACAACAGTCGAATTCAACCAATCATAGCAGTGGCTGACAAGGGGTGGTATATCTTACAGAATAAGTCAGAAGACTTTATGTGTGAGTATGTTACAGTATTTCTTCCCATGGTGCACCATTTTTTGGTAAAGTAGAGGCTATGGATAATGTAGCAGTTTATTTACTGATGTTTTTACCCTCTGTTACTTGAATGTGGAAGGAACCACGTGTGTCAATACTTAACTATCTAGAAATGCTTTTTCAGACATTGGTTCTTGATATATATAAGAGACATACAAAAGTGTTCCTTTAGGTAGAATTGGGTTTCTACCATGTTTATTGTCTAAAAGAAAAGCAGTTGCCTGACAATGGCATTAGCAGCGTGTTCGTGACTCATAGTACCAGGTGTGTATGTGGTTTCCAGTTCTTAAAACAGTTTTTATATACTGATCATAAACTGCAAAACAGTATTAATCATGCCAGGGAAACTGTATTAAGAAGCCCTTTAAAAATGATTTCCTTGGCCATGAGAATAATTTCCACCTTTGTATGTTCAGAATTTCATGTATTGTGCGGGTAGGTCTTATGTTAGAGTGATTGCTCAAAAAAGGACTACTGTTTTTTAGGAGATTTTTATTTGACAGAGTTATCATAAATTTAAGGGGCCTCTCTGGAAATTTTTGTTCAGTGAACTACAATTACACAACAGACTGATCACCTCTATTTTTGGTAGAAAACCTTTAATGCTCCTATTTTATTTATTTATTTATATTTTCATTGATTCAACAAATAATTGAGTATTGTCCCCTGTAGTCCTTCTCAGCCAGAGTTCCACAAGATAAATAAGCCCTAATGTCCAAAAGCAGTGATTCTCAAAGTGTGTTCCCTGGCCCAGAAGCATCCAAATCAACTAAGAACTAATTAGGAATAAAAAACTCCTGGGCCCAACCCAGATTTACTTAGAAACTGTGAGGGTAGGGCCTAGCAATCTGTGTTTGTTCATGCCCCCTTAGGAGTCTCATACATACTGAAGTTTGAGAACCACTGTGTTTAGGCATCCATTATTAAATACTATCTACTAGATCAAGCATTTATGGTAGGGGCTACCATAACAAAACAAAATCCCTATTCATGGGAAATATTTTATATAAGTCATAATGATTTAATTTGAAATCTGATTTTATAACAAACATGATAGGAGAGAATAATATTTGCCTTCATGACTGAGAGTCCAGATCCCAACTTCTCATAGAAATGAACACAGCAATCCTCCAATTAGAATTACATAATGGCATAGTAACCTGTGAGATAATTACTAATGATTCATAAATCTGGCATTATTTTTACTTGAATAAACTCAAAGAGTCATGGCATTTGGAATGACTTCTTCAGATAGATTTTGCCAGGAAAATTTCAAATGACTTTGAGATGACTAAGGGTCAGTTCATGACTTCCAGAGAAATTGATTAAGGACTTTTGGGGGAGCTATGTTTGTGTTCCCATTGCATATTTTCCTGTAGCAATTATAGGTATTAGAGATTGACTTACTAGTCATTCCTCTACCGTTATTTTTTTTTAAATTAAAAACATTTTTTAATTGATACATACTAGATGTACATATTTTCAGAGCACAGGTGATATTTTGATACATTCATATAATGTGTGAAGATCAAATCGCCATCACCTGAACTCATTATCTTTTCTTGATGATAATAAAGCCCATTGGTTTTCTTAGGTTGCTGACTTAATAGCAGTAGCTCCTGCCTTGCACTCTTCATGTCATGCTAGGCACACATTCCTTCCAAATGTAGCTTTTGTTTTCAATTTTGCATTAATTTTATATCACTTGATATATGTGTCGGAAGACTCCTGAAGTGTTTGCTTTATTTATAACCGCACTAAGGTACACAGAGCTAAGTTGGATCCTGACCTGAGTCAACAAAGTCAAGATTTTTCCCCTCTACATATAAGTACTGACCTTTGTTTTTTGGTAGAGCAATGTAGCTGTAACTATACATTGGATTTTTGTGGTCGTTTTTATTTTTCTTTATGTGTTGTTTTTCCCCTTTTATTGGTAATTCGGAGTTTATTGTCTTCATGACTAAGACTAATAGTATTTTTATCTATTTATCTTCATAACAATAATTGGAACATAGTAGATACTGTATTTGCTGAATATTAGTTTGCCAGGCACCAAAAAAAAAGAAAAAACACTCTAATTTTTTCTTGACTTGGCTCAGCTTTGCTCCCTACCCTGCTTCTTCTACAGCGTAAGGTAGTGTTGGCCTGTGAGAAGCATTTACAATCATTGACTTTTCATTTCCTGAAGTAAACTGTGATGTTGACAACAGCACAGATTATTTGTAAAAGATTGTTTTATTTTTCTAATCAAATTAGATGAAGTTTGCATTTAAGTTCAGAGCTTGACCGTATAACGATGATTTCCATTTTAATGCATCTGGTTGGCTAATGTATTCATGCATTTTTCTTTTTGCAGTAGGCAACCACGGTTATGATAATGCATTGGCAGAAATGCATCCAATATTTTTAGCCCAAGGTCCTGCCTTCAGAAAGAATTTCACAAAAGAAGCCATGAACTCCACAGATCTGTACCCGCTGCTGTGCCACCTCCTCAACATCACCACCATGCCACACAATGGATCATTCAGGAATGTGCAGGACCTGCTCAGTTCAGTAACTCCAAGCCAAATTCCTTATACCCAGAGCACGACGCTCCTCCTTGGGAGTGTCAGACCAGAAGAGTATGAGCAAGAGGAGGCGTACCCTTATTTCATAGGGGTCGCTCTTGGCAGCATTATAGTGCTTGTGTTTTCTGTAATTTTCATTAAACACTTAATTCGCAGTCAAATACCTGCCTTACAGGATATGCAGGCTGAAATATCTCAACCGTTATTACAAGCCTAATGCTACTTTGAAGTGAAATTGCATATTGAAGCGGAGATTGCATAGTTCTGTCAGTGTTTAAAGGTTTCAAATTCTAAGAAACCAGTTGCAGACATTTGCAGAGACTATCAAGCGGTTCTATACATATTTAGGTACAGTCTCTCTCTCTCTCTCTCTCTCTCTCTCTCTCTCTCTCTCTCTCTCTCACACACACACACACACACACACACACACACCCACAGACCAAAATACTCAGACCTGCAAAGGATTAAAAATGTGAGAGTATATCTCCATTGTTTCTCTTTAGCTTGAGGAAAGATAAGATCTTGCTTTATTTGGACTTGGCACATAATGTATATATTTAGCAACTTTGCACTATTTCAAGTACCTTATACATTGCACTTTAAATTTACTTTCCTAATGAGAACTGTTATTTGAAATGCACTTTATAGGCAATTATGTCTTACAGTTTGGTTGAAAACAACAACTTTTTGTGCCCATGTCGCAGAATAGTACTTACTGTTTAAACTGGATGGAATTTCTAATAATTCCTGAATAATGTAGAAATCTATTTCCTTAAATCGGGACAACTGTTGAAAATTAAATGTGACAACCTTTGTACCTTTAATTTTGGAGAGATGTAATCCCTACAGCAGGGTGCATCTGTGAGCATTTCTTGTCATATTTCTTTCAAAAACCATGGGTTTTCATTTGTTTTTTCCCCCCAAAAAAATCCATGTACTGACAGATTCATCCTGTCATAAAATGAATTATTGCTATTTTCTGATTAGTCATATTACTCTGATTTTTATAAAAATAAAGGCACCACAAATAGACATTTCTTTCCTGTGTAGTTCAGCCATGGCCTGAATAGAAGAGATCAGGCACCATCTCAGCCATGTTTTCTCTTGTCTGTGATTAATTTGCTTCTTTGAAAACTAAATCATTATTAATAGCATTAAAAATCAAACTAGATTTTTTAAAAGTCTGTTTTCTTTCTGGTAGCATATAATAACAGAGCACAAACATCTTTTAGATTTGCACATTTGAAGATCCAGAGTTGAAAAACAGCACAAATTATATGAGGGAAACTATAGGCCACTCAATTCTTGAAAAGAGCTGTGTGGAACCCGAGAAATAAATTAGGCAGGACCACAAACGAGATGTTCACACTCTTACCCAGAACAATGGTAATGAGTGTCCACTGGCAAAAACTACCAAAATGACTCCTAGTGGTAACAGGTATTAAAACAAGAACTGCAATTATGTAGCCCTGTTTCAAGAAATATTTGAATACCCACCAACCAGGTACCCAGTGGAATCAAAGAGGGATCCAAGTCCAGAAGTAGACTTCTACCTCCTGGGTAGTAGTTTTCACCTGCCTGGTCACCTCATCCCCTCTCTTTCCAACAATACAAGCCTATGCTTTAGATTTCAAAAAAATTAAGAAGTTTGGGAGAGCCGTAGTATTGCATATGGTTTCTTAGAGGAAAGAGGAAGATTTGAAAGGAAAAGCTTTCCCTGAAGAAAATATAAAGCAGATTACAACCACATGGCTAATAAGTAGATGTTAACAAAATGGTATATAACTATTGCAGAAAGAAAGAACAAATTGGATGTGAAGGACAAAAGTGAAGAGTTAAGAATGTTGCATTTAAGTGCCTCTAAAAGTAGGTGAATGAATTATTTTTTAAATGATAATGCTAAAGGAATGTTAGCACCTAATTGTCATTTCATTACAAAATCTGTTAATAGGATGGAATCGAACAACAGGAAATGATCTATAGATAAAAAAGCAGAGAATTTAGATGGTAGCGGTAGCAAACTCCCCAGAATTTTATACTCTGGATTAGACATTCCAAAATACTTGAGCACTCATGTTGGCTTGCTTTGTAGCTATGAACTTAGCTGCATTATCGAGATGTCAGTAGAATGACTAAAAGTTGAAATAAGTCTACTGTCAAGCATTGCTGTTCAAATCTGTCCATCTAAATGAATTGTTGCATTAAATTCATTTTAGAAGGTGCTATTAAGTAGTATTAGCACCTTCTTTGTAGTAAGAAGAAAGTAAATTTGTAGTAAGAAGAAAGTAAATTCTGTAACATTGATGAAAGCATTAAAATTCTGATATGAAGATTTGATTATTGGATGGTTTCTTTTACTTGCAGATATTTATTTTCCTATAACCTGTCAGCAGGAGAGTTTACCTGAAGGAAAATAAAATTTTAAGCTTTTCTGGAAAGAAAAATCTCATCATCACTCATACTTTGATAGCTTTTTTGTTTTGTTTTACGTACTACATGTCTTCATGGTCAAACTTTCTATGCAGTGAACACAAATTAGCACATGGAAATAAAATTTAGACTAGCTAATCTTACAAATTTTAAGAATTTTTTTTAAAAGTTCAGAGGAATGGAGCTCCACCCTGCCCTACATTTTTGCTCAATATCCTCCAGCCATTCTGTACAGTTTATTATTTGATAAGTTTTTTTTTTTTTTTTTTTTTTTTTTTAGTGTGTGTTTCACAGTTTCTTCTCCCTCTGCCACCTGCTATTTAGATTTAAACTGATCCACACAATGCTTTCTGACACTGTAAGGTAAAACTAGCATCCAGTTGGTTTCTTACAAGAACCTATACTTTGTAGAAAATCTAATGAAAGACCTAGCTCTTCTAATTCTCATTTTTTTTTTTTTTTTAGCTATTCATTAAATGAGGGGAACAAGTTTGATAACCATAGTGCCAGGAAGGATCTAAGGGATCATTCAACCCCTTGATTTAACAGGGGCCTTTCCAGTGGTGAAGGAGCTAGCATGACATATTGGCAGCAGAGCTGGAAACAGGACCCAGGTTTCCTGCTTGAGTTTGTACTCAAGGTCAAGCTGCAGCCTAGGCTGGTTTACTTCTGGTTCTTCCTATCCCAAGCAGGAGGTGTAAGCGCAGCTCCCATCCTCGGCATGGTTTGTACACCAGCTTTGACCTTCAGCTGTGCAAGGCTCACAGCTTTCCTCCAGACTGGCCAATACCCCACAATGCCCCGGGACAAAAATTGTCGGGAATGCTGGACTCACTTCTCAGGATTTCAGTCTTCTCTGAATCTCACCCTGGTAGTTCCCCATTTGATGCTTTAGAAAAGACATTTTAAAAATATGTTTTATTAATAACTTCCATTCAGTACAAGATGGCATAGACTCGCTTTTCCTTGCCTTTACATGTTATTAACTATAAATCCTGGAAATGGTGCAGACGGCTCTGAAGGGTGGTAAGACGGCTGAGAGCAGATTCAGGATTTCAGGGCTGGAAAAACAAAATGACGACGGGCCTTCCCGTGATCCCACCCAATGGAAGGAGGCCACGCAGAGCCTGTATTCTCCGATCCCAGTCTAGCAAGATAGCACCCATCGGGGTAGGCGTATTCCTTCCTGGATCAAAGAGGACTCTCTAGAAACATCAGGTAAGCCCATATCACCAGCAAGGGGAACTAACATAGCTAATGAATATTGATTGGCAGCCAGTTAAAAATAGGCAGCCAAGAGCAACATTCTCCTTCCCCGTCTCGGGAGACAGACAGCCACAGCAGATGGTCTAGGGAACCTCTTTGTCTCCACAGGCTTGAGACTCTTCTCCCCCAACCAGAGACGCTGGGGTGAGAAGGCAAGACCTTAAAAAGGGACCCAGTTACAGCAAGTGGCCTGGTCTGGGTAGCCTCTTTGTCTCCATGGCCTGAAACTCTCCTCCTCTTCCCAGAGACTTCATAATGGGCCAGGAGCACCAGTAAGGGACTCCTACCATACCACTTTCCCACCCAGGGATACTGGGCAGCTGGCCTGGGATGAAAAAAAAAAAAACCCTTGTGCCTTTCTCAGGCAGGACCCACAGAGACCAGTGGGAATCTCAGCGGCACCCTGTAATCCAACAGACCAAACTAACACCACAAAGCCTGTGAAAATTAAGCTGCTGTTGGAACTACAGCCCACAAAAGTAGGTCAAGACCTTCATGCTAAACCTAAAAAGTGTGACTTCCTGCTAAAATAAAAAATGTAAGGGGAACCCATCATCTCCTAACATAACAAATAAGATATCCAGGATATAAATGAAAATTGCGTGTACACCTAGAATGAAGACAATCCCAAACTAGATTGAGAAAAGACAACCGATGCCAACACCGAGATGAATCCGCTGTTGGGATGGTACGACAAGAAACAAAACAGCTGTCATAAAAATACTTCAGCAATCAACTGCAAACTATCTGTAAAATGAAAAAGTGGAAAATGTCAGCAAAGAAATAAAAGTTGTGTTTTAAATGGAAGTTATAAAACTGAAAAATAAAATTATAAAGAGGACTCACCAGATGGACTCAATAGTAGAATGGAGCCAGTGGAGGATAAAACTAGCGAACTTAAATACAGAACAATAAAAATTACAACATTTTAACAAGCTTCAGGGACCTGTGGGACAATAAGAAAAAAATCCAACATTCATATCACCAGGGTCCTAGAAGGGGAAGCTGAAAGATTAATTGACAAAATAATGGCTCAGACTTGAGTGAAGACACACATCTGTAGATCCAAGAAGCTAAGTGAACCCTCAAATATGATAAACTCAAAGAAATCCACATCTAGATACATCATAAGTAAACTTGTGAAAAAAAAGAAAAATCTTGAAAAGTAGCCAACAACTCATTACTTACAAGGGCTATAGGTATACTTATTGGGGAATTCTAATGACAGCAGATTTCTTATCTCAAGTCATGGATGCCAGAAGGCACTGGCACAGTATTTTTCAAGTGCTGAAAACAAGTACTGTCTTCCACTAATTCTGTGTACCACGAAACTATCCTTCAAGAATGAAGGGGAGGCTGAATGTGGTGGTTCATGCCTGTAATCCTAGCACTTTGGGAGTCCAAGGCAGGAGGTTTGCTTGAGCCTGGGAGTTCAAAACCAGCCTAGACAATATAACAAGACTCCATTTCTAAAAAAAAAAATTTTTTTTTTTTTAACTATCTGGGCATGGTGGTGTTCACCTGAAGTCCCAGCTACTCAAGAGGCTGAGGCTGGAGGATCACTTGAGCCCAGGAGTTGAAGGTTGCAGTGAGCTATGATTGCCCCATTGTACTCCACCTTGGGCAACAGAGCAAGATCTTGTCTTTAAAAGGATAATAATAATAGGGAAATAAAATCATTCCTAGAAGTAGAGAATGTAAAAGAGGTTATTACTAGCAGACCTACTTTTAAAGATAGTCTGAAGGAAGTTCTTCGAACAGAAAGGAAATGGTTAAAAAAAAAAAAGGAATCTTGGCATATTAGGAAGAAAGATGGAAAGAGCAGGGATATAAGTACATACAACAGACTATCTTTTTTCACATGAGTGTTATAAATCATATTTTGAAACAGCAATTATAATACCATCTGATATTCAAAACAATATTTAAATGTGTGGAAGGTAAAGACACCTAAATGGAAGTGAGGTTTCCACACTTCATTCAAAGTGGTAAAATGTTAATACCAGTAGATTGTTTGTTATAAGTCGTAAATGGATACTGCAACACTCAGAGCAGCCAATGGAAGAACTGTACACTCAAAAACACTACAAATAAATCAAGACAAAATTTAAAAATTTTAATGTAGTACACAGAAAGGCAAAAGGAGAGAAACAGAGGGATAAGAACCAGGGGAAAAATAAAAAAAAAAAAGATAATAAAATGACAATTAACTAAGATATCAATAATTATCCTAAATGTAAATTATCTAAATACACCAATTTCAAAATACAGATTGGCAGAATGAAAAACAGCAATAAAAATTATGCTACTATAGTGACTTATAAGAAACTGACTTCAAATTCAAGACACAGGTAGGTCAAAAATCAAAGGATGGGAAAAGATATGCTATGGAACATTAACTTTTAAAAAGCAGGAATGGCTGTGTTAATGTGTAACAAAGTTGACTTCAGAACAGATAAAATTACTATAGACTAAGAGGGACATTACATCATGATAAAAGGGATAGTGACAAATTTATATAATGTAATACATAATATTCCACCAGGAATATATAACAACCTTAAATGTTATATATCCTAACCAGCAGTTCAAAATACATGAAGACTCAGGTAATGATTCATTTGCTTAAAAAAAAAAAAAAAAAAGAAAGAAAAAGAAAAACAAAATACATGAAGACAAACACTGATAGAATTGAAAGGAAAAAGAGATAAATCACGATTATAATTGGGTGCTTCAACACGCCGTTCTCAATAACATTTCAAAATATATGGCATGAATCAAAAGCAGTACTTAGAGGAAAGTTTACAGCACTGAAGGCTTATGTGAAATGAGAAAAGATCTCAAATCAGCAACCTTAGTTCATACCTCAAGGGACGAGAAACAGCAAAATAAAGGAAGCCAAAGGAAGAAAATAATAAAGATTACAGCAGAAATCAATAAAATTGAAAACAGAAAAACAACAGAGAAAAATCAATGAAACAAAAACCTACTTCTTTGAAAAAATTGATAAACCTCTAGCAAAATTGACAAAAATAAAAAGGAGACACAATCACAATATCAGGAATGAAATAAGAGCTATCGCTAAAGATCCAGCAGATATTAAAAAGATAATAAAGGACTATTAGGAACAACGTTACACTCATAAAAAGTCAACAACTTAAATTTGAAAACCATAAGCTACCAAAACTTCAAGCAAGATGAAACAATCTGAATAGTCCTATACAATAAATAATTGACTTCATTATTAAAAAGCTATTAAAAAAAGAAATCTTCCAACATGGATGGTTTTGTTGGATAATTCTACCAAACATTTTAAAAAGAATTAAGACCAATTTTATACAATGTCTTCCAGAATATTGAAAAGGAGGGGAGCATTTCCCAACTCATTTATAAGCTAGTATTACCAGTATTATTCTGACACCAAAACCAGCCAAAGATAGTACAAAAAAAGAAAACTACAGACCAATATATCTCGTGAATTTAGACACAAAAATCCTCAAAAACATTAGCAAACTGAATCCAGCAATGAATAAAAAGAATTATACAACATTACCAAGAGGGATTTACTGCAGGTGGCAAGGGCAATTTGACATTTCGAAACTCAATGTAACCCATCATATTAACAATCTAAAGA